GGCGTGGCCGTCTACACGGCCGGGTGCAGAGCGTCCAGCGCCTCGACGCCGGCGCTCTACTGCCTCCACGCAGAGATTCGGCAGCCGTGCGAGAGACCCGGAAGCGAGACGTCAACAGGACACAGAACGGCGCCGTCACCCGCCCAGGCCACCCCGCTGCCCAAGGGACCGAGAAGCGTTTTCTTTTATATATTTTTTAAATCCTTTTTTTAATTTTATCTTTATTCTTTCCATGGGGAAGGGGACCGGTTTTTTTTTTTAGCATTTTTTAAATCTTTCTTGTTTTTTCTTTAGTTTTATTTTTTTTCCATGGGGGAAGGGACTGTTTTTTGATTTTTATTTTTTTTACATTTTTTAAACCTTTCGTTTTTTTTGTTTTTTTTTTTTAGTTTTAGTTTTTTTCTATGGGGGAGGAAACTGTTTTTTGTTTTTTTATTTTTTATTTTTTGTATTTTTTAATCTTTCTTTCCTTTTTTTTGTTTTATTTTTTTTTTCCATTGGGAGGGACTGTTTTTTGCAGGAGGTCGAGGCCAGCCTCAGCAACACCGAGAACCCGTGTCTTCTAAAAATACAAATTAATTGTATTTTTTAATTAAAAATATACACAATTATATACATGCCTGGGACTACATGTGTGTAGTCCCAGCTACTCGGGAGGGAGGCCGAGGCAGGAGGATCACTGGAGGCCAGGAGTCGGAGGCTGCTGTGAGCGAGGCTGACGCCACGGTGCTCACCCCGGCCCGGGCGACAGAGCGAGACTCTGCCTCAAAAAAAAACAAAAACTGGGCGTTGAGATCTTCTGGTTGTTGGCGATTTGGGGACAGGCGGGACCCCGGGGCGGGGCGGACAGCGCTGTGTCCTCTGATTGGTCACGGGCGACAGGCCGTCACTGGGGCCTGGGGCATCGAGGTGGCCACCGTGTCCCCAACCCCGGCCCCATTTTGTGCAGGCAGGTCCCGGGTGACAGCCCCGTAGACAAGCCTCTGGGTGCTCAGCGGGCTGGCGTCTATTTTATTTTATTTTTTTTGAGAGGGAGTCTCCAACTCCTGGCCTCCAGCGAGCCTCCCGCCTCGGCCTCCCTCCCGAGTAGCTGGGACGACAGGCGTGCGCCACCACGCCCGGCTCAGAGAAAAAAATTGTCATTTCTTTTTTTTTTCCTTGGTTGTTTTGGTTTTTTCTTTTTTTTTTTTTTAATTTTTGCGATGACATTTGAAAAATTTGCAGGTTTCAAAAACCTGTCACAGGGCCCGGCCGGCAAAATGGCTTTCTTGGTGGCGTTTTTTAAAAAAAAAAACAAAACAAAACAAACAAACAAAACAAACAACAAACAAAAAAGAAACCAAGCATGTTGTTTCTAAACGGGATTTTCTGCCCCGAGCCGTGTCGCGCGGAGAAGAAGGGACAGTCCGCGTTGTCGTGTTTGCGTAGAGGGTTTTTCTTCTTTTTTTTGTCGCATGGATTAGCCGAAATGCATTTTGTGAAATGCCGTTTCCGCGTGGCATTTCCTTGTCGTCCTTGTGGCTTCTTAACTGCTACCTACGTGAGGTTTCTACTATTAAAAGTGAATTAAAGACTAAAAAACAAAACAAAAAAAAAACGCGAATCCTGCTCTTGTCGTTTCTCTTCTGTGGGTGGAGGCCCGGCCTCTACGTTCCCGGCGGCCTCAGCTTTCCCTCCCCGGGGATGAAGCTGGTTTTAGGCCTCTAGGGTCCCCGCCAGCCTCGGAAATGTCCCCATCAGGGAAATCCCAGTGTGGTGGGGCGTTCGAGTTTTTCCTGGGGTGGTGGGAGGAAGGGAGGCCCCACGAGGAGGCCGGCCTCAAACTCTCGCCCTGTAGGTAGTTTGAGGTCCAGGGCAGAAAATCTGGTTAAAAAGTGTCAGAACGTGGGACTCAATCGTGACTTCTGATTGCTCGTTAATTAGGGGAGGACACGGAGGTCCAGCAGGGAGGCCGATGGAGGCCGGAGAGCCTCATCCATATAGCGCCTCCAGGCGGGGCCTCAGACCACCAGGCTCGGAGGCCACTTTGGAAGAACGAGAGAATCTCCCATATGTGACAGTCATTAAAATCCTCAAGGCGGATCCTCCCAGATCATGGACTCCCATCTCTGCACCTTCTAAACCCGCCTTTAGGGTTTAGAAGGAAGAGAGGCTGGGCGCGGAGGCTCATGCCTGTCATCCCAGCACTCTGGGAGGCCGA